TTTTGCCAAAGCTGTGGAAACCTGGGCTCAGAAAGGTTAAGCAGCTCACTCTTAGAAACAAAGCTGGTAATTTTGCAAAGCCAGGGCCGGATCCCAGTTCTCCCGATTCCTGGTCCTCTCCCTTTCTCTGCAACATCACGGCACATTTGCTTTAACCACCAGGCAAGATTGTTTGGAAACCAGCCCAGGCCCTTTTATCTCTGTTGATTCAAATTATGTACAGATCTTGGGTTTATAAAAGCAACATCAAATTGAAAAGGAGACACTAACTAGAAACAAATGAAAGGTTCCATTTATATCCATCTAACGAAGTTAAATGTACCACATGGAAAAACGTTCATAATGGAAGAAAAGCTCTGTTCATTTTGGTGCTGGTGGTGGGCACGTCAGGATACTGCAACTTAAAACATCCCCTAGGCCTCCCCTGTTGAGATCCTCAGGTTACAAGGCAGCATGGGTCTTCTGATTCATTACTGTTATGGAGCAAAGATCTGAATCTGAGTGGAAATAGCTTCTGTGTATGCAGGGGAAAGAGAATATTAGGCAGAGTATATGAAAATTGAATTATTCTTATTTATTAGAAAGGCTAACTACCTATCTAGAGGTCTTTGTTTTAGGAGGGTCAACTGTTCCTCATCTAGCAATAATCAGTTGTCAATATTCCTTTAGATAAGGTCGGGGTCTGCTGTTCATTTTCCCGGTTCTATGCTGGGTTACTATCTGGGAGTCCCTCTGGCCACCCTGGCCAACAACTCAAAAGAAGGTATCACCTGTCTGGCATTGTTGCTTGTTATGTAGCCTTTAGCTATGCATATGGACTATTAAGAAATTATATTGGCCCCTTTAATCTTTGCTTATACATTCTTTTTGATTGTTTAAGGCAATCCAGTTGGTCGAGATAAACCAATTTATTTTTACTCTTAAGGTCGTTTGAGGATCTGTTCCTCAGGGGTCACATGGGCTTGGGAGGAGCCCCTGGCTCTTTTTACTAGTTCCACCTATGTGAAGATAAGTCAAAGGTCCTGCTCAACCATGGTTGGCTTCGCTTGGAAGCATGGAGGAAGTGATTCCTCTGTGTTGACCCTCCTCTTTGTAGACTGGACACTGGTTCAAGTCCATCTGGTGGGGTCTCCTTGGCCTCCTTGATCAAGAGGAGAGGCGACCCACCACCATTATAGAACCTTTTGAGAGATGCTCATAGTCCCCTGGAACTAGTTGACCTAGGAGGGCAAGGAGCAAGAAGAGTCCTTTATCTCCCTCTGACCAAATTATTTAGGCCTCAAAGTATGTCTGTTAAACACCCAAGAAGTTTAGTTCCACCAGTCTGGTACTTTTAATAACTGTGTGTCATGTAGATAAATCTTGGGCAAAGACCAGTTGTTCTCAGATAAACCTTATCTAGACATATATTTCTTGATCTGCTATGTATAATTTGTCAGTAGGTTGTAGGAGTAATATGGTTCCCTCTGGTTTTCAAAACTAGCTAGGCACTGTTTATCTCTCACATTTTCTTACCCCTCCATCATGGTTTTTCCACTTAAGGTGCCCCCATTTCCCCCCCTTTCTCCCTTACTAATACCCTTCTCCTACGGTCCTACCTCTCTTGAGCTCCTTCTTTCCCTTTATCCCCTAGGTTCCTTGTATACCCTTCCCTCCCCTCTCCTTTAAACTAACCCAATTTTCATCCATATCTCCCTTATTAAGGCCTGTTTCCTACTGGTCTTCTCTTTCAGGTTATTTCTTATGCTTTACCTCCTTGTTTCCTTTCCATTATCCTGGTTCCTGTAGTTATGTCTGGTTACATACTTATTTATCAGAGTCTGGTTCTAGGATCCACATATGAGGGAGAACATATGTCGATTTTTTTTTCTGAGTCTGTGTTACTTCACTTAGTATAACGGTTTCTAGTTCCAACCATTCACCTCTAGATAGGCTGACTAGACTCACCAGAAGGGCAAGTAGTGGGGAATGGCTGGGGGTGCCGACAACACAGCAGACAGTAGCAGGGATAACAGATTATAAGGGCTCTAGTGGGTGGAGGGAGGCTATGGGAGGGTGCCATCTGGGAAGTGGGTGTATAGTCGAATGGGATGGCTTGGGATGTTCTGTGTGATATACACACAAAAAATAATCAACAATTTTTAAAAAAACATATTATATTTGGGGAGGAAGCATGGAAATTTACTTCATGCTAATTAGTAGAGGTGATAAACAATACCACTGAAATCTGCCTGATGACTTTATAGACATACACAGGCGCCAAGGATCCAAGTGCAACTGATTATGACTAGTAATAATCAGATACATACAGATTAGAGATGCACGCGCCAACATCTAATGTTAGTAGCAAAAACAATGAGTCTTTCTACAAGGAACACTATATTCTAAAATGAAATGGAGATCTTTTTTAAAGGTTAAAAACTCATCCAATTTTATGTCTTACAGAGATTATACTGAGTTCAGTAATATATAACTATATTAATTCACTGTGAACCTAGAAACTTGCACCCACTTATGAAAGAGATATACTCTTGTTCTGGATTGTGTTACTGAACATGTTAAAGCTGTAGTGAACAGCTTCTAACCATGTAGTTATTACAAATTTTTTAAAGTATAATGATTAAAAATAATAATTCTTCAAAGCAAAAAAAATTGCTTCCTAATAATTAGTAGATGTGAAAAGCATTATTATTGAAATCTACCTGATGACTTTATATCCATGCTCAGATGCTAAGGAGCTAAGAAAGTAACTGACTGTGACTAGAGCCAAGGAGCTCAGAAAGTAACTGACTGTGACTAGTAATAATCTGATACATAGAGATTAGAAATGCATGTGCAAACATCTTAATGTCAATTGCATTAAAAATGAAGTTTTCTGCATGAAACTATATTTTAATAATAAATGGAGATCTTTTTTAAAGGTTAAAACCTCATTTAATTTTATGTCTTATAGGGTTTATACTGAGGACAATATTGTATTAACTGTAATAATTCACCTGTAAACCTAAAAATGTACAGCCAATTTTGTAAGAGATGTAGCCTAGCTCAGAAAATTGTTATTGACTATGTCAATGCTGATGTGATTAAATGCTTTTTCTAAGTATTTGGTTATTAAATAAATAATTTTTAAAACAAGAAAGGCTAACCACCTTTGAAATCAATTAAGGTGAGGCTAAAATCCCCCAAATTTACAGTCATCTAATACAATTTTAGGTTGCATTATCAAGAATGGAGGTTGATCACCCATTTAGTTTTCCTCTCATTCATGTTTTGTTGGCTGCTACATGATTTACTTCAGTGTTACTGACACCCCACTGGTTGGTACATATCTGAATGTACAAACTTCTGGGAGACTTCATTATCTGGGGCATGCTCACAACTGTGAAAGTATTTGAAAAAAGCAACTGAGGCATAGAACAGGTCACTCTCCCCCCAGGCCAGTTCATTTTCTTCAAGGGGGGTCTTCTATAGATACTGTGAGTACACATTCTCAAAGGCTACCTTAAGTCATCATGAAAAGGTGGAACTATTTCTAAAAGCAGAACTGCGTTGGCATGATGTTTTTCACTGCTTGCACAGTAATGCTTCATTGTGGGCATGGTCTCAACCCTGTCTAGATTATCTTATCTTTAGCAATATATACTCGTGAATATTGATAATGCTACAAATTTTTAAAAGTTTCAACACCTAAAACAGTGATTACATTTCATTATCAAAATAACTTTGTTTTCCCCGTTATGCCAGAGAAATAAGTGACACTACTGAGCCCATCAGACAGGGCCAGGGACTGCCTCTCATGCCCTTCAGCATTGCTGTGTATCTTACCCTTCCTCCACAACCCCCTCAGGCCTCCCTCTATTGCTAGGGTGGTTCTTACAGCATCCTCTCCCCTTCCATCATTATCTTGGACTCCTGCCCAATCCCAGCCCCCATCTTCAAGAAAAGGGGGTGACCTTAGGGTTGGAGCTGGTACAGGAGTGGAGCCAATGAAGCAATGCCAGCATAGCCTCAAGGAATGAAGCTGGGAGTGAAAGTAAGTTCGTTTAACTTATTAATAGCTCCTGAGCAGCATCAGATGGGCTAGAAGGTCAAAATCAATGCCTTGAATGGCTTTTCTATGTTATCAGTGCACTTAACTGACCCATAAGGTTTTTGTCTGGCTATTACTGAGGAATCAGCTGCATTGAAGCAAAGTGACTTTTAAAAGATGGTTTCATGTACATTTGGTGAAACCCAATGCATCATATAAGTGCTTCAGTTAAAGTGTTTCAGCCTTACGCAAGCTAGTTTCAGACAAGCTTGAGGCAAGGAGAATGAGCTATTAAGCACAGACCTCTAGAGCCAGGTATGATGGTGCACACCTATAATCCCAGCACTTGGGAGACTGAGACAGAGAATGATGAGTCCAAGGCCAGCCTGTGCTATATAGTAAGTTCAGGGTGAGCTTGGCTTTTATGTCTTTAGTATTTTACTTTTATATTGTGTAAATCTTACAGAAATACAAAGGCAGATTCTAAAATTGAGTTTTGATAATAACTAATACTGATGGGCCTCAGACGTGTAAAAAAAACCCATCCTACAATTACAAAAACAAAGTAGGAAACCCTTATTTAGCATTACCATATTTTAAAATGACCCAAAATTAATAAAAAAGGAAGAAGTAACCAAGCACATATAACTTTTGAAATACTTTAAAAACAACAACAACAAAAATAAAACCCAGTCCATTTGCCCATAGAAACTTATTTTCTATGTTGGCCAGACAGGCCTTGAAATAATGGGTCTACGTGATCCTCCTGCCTCAACACCCTGAGTAGCAGTACAGGTGTGTGCCTTTCCTTCACCTGCAGTCACACCTATCACATTGGGCCTAGCATAGATAGAGATATCACAATCACCCAAACCCAAACATCATTTCCAAAAGAAACATAAATGATTCCTTTATCCAGTACTGGGTCTCACGGCTGGGATCTTTGAGACAAGAGTCTTAAGTTCTTGTTTAACAACATTTATTACCTGCCTGTGACATTCCCCAGGGTTACAGAGCTGGGGATAGCAGAGCCTCATGTTCCATGGGTAAAGTTCACACTTGCAATAACAACTGAATCAATATATTGTAAGCATTTGCAATTATTGGAGTGATGCAACTAGTAATGGGTACCCAATGCAGATGCCCAAGCTACTAATATTCAGACAAGTTACCTTTGAGATGACAACTTGGGGAGACAAGAAAACCATACCACTAAGGCCATAGATATTCCCCTTCCCATTCAACCCTCCTCCCCCTTCAAACTATTCCACAGACTGATTGTAGTGTCTCTCTAGTTCCCCTCTGCAGGCAGCAGGAAGGAAAAAATGTCTGAGGACTCTTCATGTTCTTTGTCTTTGTCCCTAAGGCAACGGGAAGTTGGAGGTGCTGCAACCAGCCTGGCACAGATGCCTACCCCCATTGGTTCTGCAGAGTGAGCAGTCCTTGGCAGCCACTGGAGTAATTGCCAGTTAGATGGCCCAGAGTTCTGCTTGACTTCATTGCTTCAATTCAATGCCAAATGTTGGACGTGTTGAATTCAGCTCCCAGAGGACTGGAGTGTGGTTGGTGTCAAGGCTGGCTGAAAACGGGAGCAGCAGCAATTCTGTTGGATGTACAGGGTAGGGGTGGAAGCATGGGGGGAGAAGAGGAAGATTGTGGCTAGGTGTGAGTAAGGTAGTACTTCTTCCAGGGCCTTTCCTGGTGTCCTGACCTCTCATCATCATCTAGGCCTCAGGTGAAGCAAGCTCTGCAAGGGTAGTAAAAGCGCGGGAGGAGGTCAGGCATAAGCGAGTTGAGGAGGGCGGGAGAGCAAGCTGGAGGCTGGATGATCTAGACTCGCTCGGCGCCATGGGCTACAGCAGGCTGAGCCCCAGGGACAAGCTGGCGACCACCCTCAGCCAGCAAACCCTCGGCTTTCTCAGCATCGCCGGTCAGAGTGCCACCGGGGACCCATTCCTGCTCGGCAGCACAGGCCTGGGATGGCTCATTCTTGGCCTCGACGAGCTTGCGGGAGCGGGTGTAGGCCAGGATGAGGCCTCCGGCTAGGCAGGCGTAGAAAATCATGATGAGCAGGATGTAGAGATAGGCGTCGTTGCTCTTGGCGCTGGTCACCTCGCGGCCCACAAAAGGATCAGGCACGACCCCCATGCCCATGCTCGGGCCGGGGCCGGCGCCCAGGCCGCTGGCATTGCCCCGATGGTGCAGCTCCAACAGCAGGCGGTTCAACAGGCTTTGCAGCCGTTGGCTTTCGCTGCAGTTCATGGCTGTCGGGGAGTGACACGGAAGCTCCAGGACGCCGTTGACCTTTCCCCCTGGGCGAGGGGAAGCAAGCAGGCAAATGAACAGACAGGCAAGCAGGCAGAGCAGGCAGGGCGCAAGGGACCACGACAGCAAAGGCGGCGATACCCAGCTCCCGGTCAGGCCCGCAGTGGCTGGGGGCGCTGGCCGCCGGGCCTCCTTATCCCCTC